ATTTATTGTTATTTTAGATACAAACTTGGGAAGGATGTGATTCATTTTGTGTCTATTGTAAATTTGATTATTTTTTTCACCTATTCATGGGAAATACAGAGTAGTCATCAGTTTCAGATGATACAATTTATTTATTTTTTAAATTTTTGTTTATTTATCTTTTTGGTGGGAGGTAATTAGTTTTATTTATTATTTTTAGTCGAGGTACCAGGGATTGAACCCAGGACCTTGTGCATGCTAAGCATGTACTCTACCACTGTTATACCCTCCTCTCAGATAATACAATAAAAAAAAAAAAAAAGAAAAGTCACGTAATCCTTCTACATGGTCACGGGGGAAAATCACAGAGAATTTGCACCCGCCTGAGAGTCAGCCTGTATTATCCATCTTTTTTTGGGTGAATAACTTACTGTCTCCTTCAGCAGCAAATATTAGAGGAGGTTCATATAGAGGAACTATATTGTTTATTAAGTAAAATCACTTTTTATAATCTATTCTACCATTTAAGTATTTAAACCTAATGTTCCTTAGTGTAACACTGACTATTTCTGTGGAAGAATGCATAGTTAATAAATCACCATTGCCAATTGGTTATAGGTTTAACTCACGCCCTGAATGCATTTTTAAAAATTTCTTTGAAGACCATTTCTCTTATTTAAACTGTAATGACCCTTCATTCATGGTAATCATCCTGAAAATATTAAAAGATGAACACTTGCTGAGCTTGTAAAATTTATTTAAAAAAATAACTCAAAGAAGTCAGAGAAAGCCAGAAAGAACTGAACAGTAAAACAATTACCATTTAGATGGGAAGTCATTTGTCTTTATGGCTATTTCTGTGTATGTAAAAATGTTTAACATGTGTTAATATAGTATTTATGCAGCCAAGAAACTATGTGTATAATTTAAATATAATTCAATAGATTTATAATATGAGATTAAGAAAACCCAGACGACATAAAGTGCTGATTATAAACTCTCAAGAAATAATTCCAAGAAAAATGTAAACACAGATGATTTTATATCATAGCACTTCCCTGTATTTTAAATACATAAAGTATAAAATTGTATCCACATGACTTTATTTAGGATCTAATCCATTTGCATGTGCAGTTTTTAAAAGTTACCTCTCATAGTAAAGCTCTCAAATGCCTTAATTTCCTTTTACTTCCCATAGTGTAAGCAAATGACAAACTGAACCATTCTCCCTTTGTGATGTTGTGAGTGAAAGTAAATAAATAAATAACCTAACAAAATAACCCGGAAGAAATAATTGTAGAAACAGAAAGCTTGTTCTAATGCTGGCCTTGCCCCTAGGGGGTTCTGTTGTCCTTGGACAATGTATTTGATCTTCCTGGGTGCCTTTTCTGCTTCCACGTCCCACTTCACTTTAATCTCTGGGGTGACATAGAGAGCTTAGCTTTACACGGTGCTCTTGCCCGTATCAGGCCATATCCAGTTTCCCTGCTCTGAGGATTCCAGGACCAAAGGGCTAATTTGTCCCTGAGGTAAAAGGCCTCGTACATTCCACGTGTCTCCCCAAACCCAGGGTGCAGGTTCCTAATCCCATTTCTTTTCCCGTAATGTTTTATCCCCCCGCCGTGTTTGGGCAAGTTCCCTTAACAAGCCATCATCCCGGATAAAGTCCTCATTGTGATTTTGACGACCTTGAGCCGAGCTGACAGGCTTCTTGGGGGAGCACCTGCCTGACTACCTTCTGTTCTAGGTGCTCCAACTGTAGTCTGTCCCTTCAGCAGTGGGCAATATTTAAAGCAGAAGTCAGTCTGATGTGTGTGTGTATGTGTTTATAAAACAGATACGTTGCCAACATTTGATATCAGAAGGTTTCACATAAAAGTATAGAATTGCATCTTCTCTTGAGAAATCAGAAAGCTTTGGAACACTTACCCTACATTTTCACATGGCGGCAGCTGGCCGGGAAATTTACTCACGGTGAATTCTCTCCAATTTCTCCCTCACCGAGGTCTTCTGTCCTACCCTAGGCCAGCACTAACTCATGCAGAGATTAAGTTTGAAACCCCTCTTTTAATATAGAGGCTATTTTTACTTATCAACTTCATGCTATTGTCTCCTGGGTTTTCTACAGGGTATGATTGTGGAGATGGGGGCAGGAGAGATGCTAAGAGTTTATCTGTAACTAGTGGATCGCCTTTGCTTTCAGGTCATCAGGTACATTGCTCAGTGTCTGGGGCGCGAAGAGTTCAGAAACTGAAAGCTAGAAATGGATAAAAGTAATTGTGCAAAGTGTTCACAACATTCAGGAAAGCAAATGGATGTTTACGTTGTCAAATTTAACTGAAAACCTTTCTATTCAAATATAGTTTTCAAACAATTAAGCACTAGTACTCAAGACATTATATCTTAACAATAATAAAAGGGATCATGACTTTTTCAAACCTGATACCCAACTGAATAATGAGAAACCGGATCAGACATTTAAGGGAGAAGAGCTAGGAAGTTAAGGTTGGATGAAGGTAAGAATGGTTAAAATCGTAGGGCTTGGGTTTTTTTTAAGGTATATACAAGAAGCTATTAGACACCACATTGCTGATTAGCAAGTGAACAGAAATGAGTATAGAGTAATTCTTCTCCAGTTGCGTGCTGATAGGCGTGTGATTCAGACTTTGGAACGCATACTATGCAATCAATCCCTTGCTGAGATGCTGGGCTGCCTATTAGATAGATAGCTGGGCCCTAATGGAAACAAATGAATGTTTTGGCAAGGTTTGCAGGGCAGAGCAGAGCAAAAAATAAAATTTTGTTCCCTCTGACTCAAGCATCATGACGTTATCTCTGTTTTGAGAGACAGACATCAAAGTTCACATTTTAGGGATTGTGTTGGGCCCTCGTGTCCTGGAGAATGATACCGAGGCGATAAAGAGAGTAACTTTTGTCTCTGAATCTTCCTCCAAGGGCCAGCGTGCTCTGCCCTGCCTTCGCTTACTCCTAACATCATTTCCTGCCTTAATTGTCTAGTTACTGCAGCTCCTCTCTGCTTCTGGACTTCATTTGCTTCTCTGTATCATTTACAGAAAAAAATTATACTTGCTTAAATAGCAAACTTCTCTGTGTCTTGTGAAATGGAAGGAAAATTAAAATACCTAAAAAAAGAAAAGAATTTTTAAATGCTTATGTCAGCCAAAATGGGAGCATATTGTAACTGTCGCCCCTGCTCCTTCTCTGTATCCATCCTGTGGAATGGATGTAATTGTAAAACTCATTCTCAGAAATTTATGATTCATTACAAATCATCCAGAGGCCGAGTGAAAATTTAGCTTTGCTTTAATCATAAAAAAGGCAAGTATTACAGGCACTTCAAAATAATGAAGCCACGTTTTTCTTAAAGCTTATGTAGTTCCGAGTTTGTATTATTTCAGATTGGCTTCCTGACATCCCCAGGAACTGACTTAGGAGACATTTTGAGGATGAATACGAATTTTTAGAAAGGACAAAGAGTAGCTTCCATAAGCAGCATTTTCAGAGTTTTTGTTCTTGGGCGCCATCCTTCGCCATGGCTCCTCTGGCTCGGGTGCTTCACACCCAGTACAAAAGCTTCTTGTACATATTCATGTTAATATGTAATCAGGATGTAAGACCAGAGTTTCAGAAGCTCTGGGCTCTTATTCATGAACTCTGGCAACTGAAAGAAAAGCCTCTGGGGCCAGTGGTGCTGCAGGCGGCCTTCCCGCCGCTTCCCGGCCGGGTCTCCTCCTTCCCCGGACATCGCGGCTCTGCTCTCCGCAGCTGCGCGCGCTCTTCTCTGCACCCGCGGAGGACACCACGCTCGCAGCCCGTCGTGCGGCTGAGCCCGGATGGGGTGCGGCCCCTTCTCCTGTCATCTTGCGCTTTACCGGAGATAATCCCACAAATCTCAGAAACATTACAATTCCCCCTTCGTTGGGCAACTTCAACAAAGCCGCCCTTTTACAACTTCACGATGTTAGGGGCAAACCTAAGTAAGCACTACGACCCTTCTTGTATCTTCTCTCCACGTGATTTGTTTTCTTTTTGCTTGCTGTGCTGTTTATTACGGTTTATACAACCATGTCTGATCTAATATGTTCTTTAATAAATTGCCCACAGATGGCCCACAATCTGCTTATTCTACTTAGAGATTTGTTCATGCATTTATCCTTCCTCTTTGTTCCTTGTCCCTTTATTTATTGAAGATAGTTTTATTTCCATTTTTATTTCTGTAAAACTGGTAGTAACGATAGGGATCGTATCTCCAGTGATTCTATTCTAAATCTAGAAAAAAAATGGCTCCAAGAGTTAGTCTCATTTGTAGCTGTTTCATCACGTTTAATATACTCTCAATGTGTCCTAATGTTTTAAAACTGTATGAGTTGTAAGTGTCTGTAATATTAACATTTGGGTTCTATTGAGGTTTAAATTTAGGAAGTGTCACCTTAAGCTGATCCATAGTAATTCATAAGTTTTCCAGTTTTAACCAGAACAGTGAAGTTCACCATCCATCAACAAACAGCTGACAAATTCCCCTGTAAACTTCACTATATATTAATCAACAATGATACTTAGCAGGTGCACTTCTTATCTTTCTCTAGGTTTTATAAATTTTTAAAACTATGAAAATAAACCTATACTAAAGTCTCTGGGAAAAACAAATGGTGCAAAAACAATCCCTATTTCTGAAATGATCACCAGCGCTAAGTGCATTCATGGAGTGCCTGTATGTGTGATAAGTTTTCAGCATCAGCTAGATTCTCTGAGAACCTGTTACCTTGACCATCACGTAGCCGTCTGTAGGACCAGGTGCTCTCCTGTCATGCTGACCCATCGAACAACACTAAGCAGATGTTATTTTAAGGTGCTGTGTGTCTTTCTTCACTTATGTTTCCTGCTCTCTCTGGTCCATCATCTAATTTTACCATTAAACAAGGCGATCACATTCCCTACCCCACCCCCACCCCGACTGAAATTCAGATCTAACTCCTAACAATCTGCTTTTTCTTTTCCAGATTCCTGTCTTGGTCACACAGATAAGTTCGACCAACCACCCAGTGAAAGTGGGGCTGTCAGACGCGTTTGTCGTCGTCCACAGGATCCAACAAATCCCCAGTATGTAGAGAAGCCTAATCGCAGGGTCTGAGGCTGCTGTGGGGGTGAATTTAGAGGCGATTGATCTAGGGCGGGTGTGGCTCTTTGAACAATAGAATGACTTAGCCAGTTGCTGCTTGTCAATCATGTCGCTTGGAAGTCTTATTGACACTTATCTCTGTTACTGGTGAACTAGTAATTTAGATGAAATTAAATTAGATAGACAAACCAGGAGAGTTTGGATTCTTTGGAATAGATAGCTGGGTTGCATAGATATACGTCTTTTATTAACAGGAAGAAGAACATAAAAGAATGACAGTTTATTTGACTGACAGTTGTAGGACTTTTATTTATTTAGGTTAAATAAATTTATCAGCAGAAGAGCAGCTTTGTGCCATTTTAAGTTTATCAGGTTTGTATAAAACTGAGAGTGTAAAGGAAGATGAAAAAAGTATAATTGAGATTAAAAGAAATCTTGATGGAGCTATACCTACCACAGAATATGTTTTATTTTCTTTGTTTGAATCATTTTTGCATATCTAGTCTAGTTTACGTTTGTAGAATAAAAATGTAAGTGTTACTTTGGGCAGCTGTTCATCAGATTAGAAATCGAGAATGTATCTGCTCTTTGTAATAGTTCTGATCGTGTAAATAGCCATCCTTTGAAAGCTTTTGTTTTTCCAACCTCTTCTTTTGCGAGAACAGCCCTGAGGGATGCTTGGTTACGTGAGTACCGAAGGTGTTTGTGTCCTAGACACGCTTATCTGAAGCCAGACGTTGTAACAGAAGTCATCTCATGACTAGATCGTTTCTTTCCCTTTGGTTCCAAGTTCTTGTTCTTGTTTATTTCATTATGGCGGTGGACTTAATTTATCACGTGCTTATGCTGTTTGGTCTTGACTTGAGCTAATTCTGTTTAATTATGTCGTCTCTCAAATATAGAAAGTAAATGGAATGGAAATTAGACCTTTCAGAGCAATGGATTGGCTGGAAACATTACAGGGGTTCTTGTACAACTGTGGTTTAGAATGACATTCGTATGTGGAAGTTCTGCTTGGTGAATCTTCCATGGCAGTGTCTCCTTGTTAGCTGAGAATTTGCGGGAGGTAATATTCCAGCAAATGGTTAAATCAAGGCAGATTTTTCCAGAAACAAATGTGTACTGTGAACGAAGCAGGGATATATTCGTATGTGTAGGCAACATAAAGACATCCTGACAGAACTCTTAGTTAAGAGCCTGAGCCCTGCGAGAGGCCAAGGAGACTCCTGTCTGACGAAGAACGTTCTCCCTTTGTTGCTTTCAGAGGAGTTCAGTCAAGCATGACCTGTGTCAGTTATTGTGCAAGTAAAAGGAATCACTAGTTTCAGTTTATCTGTGGCTTCTCTCCTCCCAGAAAGAATTTTATTTGCAGCTTCCTCAGAAGGCATTTTGGTCCA